GTCACTCTAGGCTACAATGAGAATAAGCTCAGACAGGGACTTACCATGACTTTCCACTTCCTTCCCCTCTCCATGGTGATGGTGTAACCATGAACGGAGACCACCACCATCCGTGCCACTGACACTCGGCCATTACCGTAGCTCTCATTTTCTACCACCACGGAGAAGTTTGCCAGCCCAGCGTCACTGCTGCAGACTCTGGCTAAGCTGTAAGTGCAAGTGCCTTGGAAATCAAAGGCCCGTCCGTCAAAGGTCAGATAGTGAGGGTCACCAGATGCTACACATTTGCCAAAGCCTGTGGCGTGGCAGCCCAAGACTCCGTTCTCCACCCTGCACTGCTCGTTGGCTCCGCAGGAGGCCTCCTGGCACTCAACGACCCCGTTGTCTTTGCACCGGCACCGTTCCTGGCAGGAGGCGCTGGCGTAGAACTCCTCTCCTTTCCTGTAGTACCTGCCCCGGTGCACACAGCCGCACTGCGCGATGGGGACGCACTGGTCTCCGCTCAGGAGGAACCCGGCGTCGCAGAAACAACCTTCAGCACAGGGGGCGTCGCAGCCATCCGGCGCCGAGAGGCCGTGGCAGGTGGCAGGGCAGCCGTTCCCACAGAGCTCGTAGTGGAAGTTACGGGGGCAGGTGGGACCTGCAGGAGAAGATCAGAGGGAACGTGCAGATGGGGGTGAGAAAAAGAAGAAATGTGCAGGTAAGTGGAAAGAAATCTCTCTATATTTATATCACTTACAATAGGATTGTTCTGGGGGGTTCGGAGCCAGGACTCCTGGGTTCTATTCCTAGTTCTGGGAGGAGGGCCGGGGGCTGGAAGTCAGGACTCCTGGGTTGTATCCCAGGTGTGGAAGGGCGGTCAGGTCTAGAGGGTTAAAGAAGTGCCAACTGAGAGCCAGAATTCCTGGGTTTTCTTTCTGACACTTGGAGGGGCGTTTGGTCTAGTGGTTAGAGCTGCAGACAAAGGGACGTGTTCCAAGTTGCGTTCCAAATTCTGGCAGTGGGCTGCTGTGTATTGTTTAGTGACGGAGGACTGGGAGTCAGTACGCCTAGGTTCTGCTACTGGCTTCTCATGCGACTTTGAGCAAATCACTTTAGTTCTCTCTGCCTCCGTTTTCCTGCACCCTGATGGGAAGGATGAACTGTGTTTGCAAAGTGTTTCCAACCCCCTGGGAGAAAGCTGCTGGCGAGGGGACAGGATTATGTTAATACAGAATAAAGTTAAAGCAGAGCCGAGGAGGTGACCCTTACTGTCAGTGACATTGGAGGAAAACTACTGCAAGATGATAGCTCTGTAGGGCCAGTGACACATGGCTGAGCCATTCTGAGCCCACCCTGTAGAGGGCGCTGCACATGCACACATAAAGCGAAGTCAATTAGCAACACTCACTGCAGAATGAGGCTGATCTCCACTGCCCTATCTCGATGCCCTTGGCCTGGCAGGCCGTCACGTAGGCACTGATTGCACTGCAGAGAGCGTCACGGTGACCCTTGTACTGGCATGCGTCAAAGATGCAGTCGTCGAAGAAAGAGGCTGGGTCGATGGCCCCGTGGCACTCTCTGAATGGCCCGTCCCCTCTGGTGATGACCCCGCAGTACCGATCTCCCTTGTAGGGTTTTTTCTGAGCCTCACTGCAGACTGGGCAGTCCTTGGTACAACTGGGCAAGCATCCAGGGACCTCCCCCACCTTCCAGCTCTCTGCGAACTGGATGGCGTTGGCTGCCTGGCTCCCGTCCCTCATGGTCAGGTCGTCACCGGCACTTTGGTTGTTGTTGCCACAGAGGCCGCAGAGGGCGTTGGTGTAGGTGTTGGGAACAGTGACCCGGACCACGCTGCTCCCGTCGAAGGTCACCCTCAGGTCGAAGGCGGTCTTGATGGCGATGTGGGATCCACTGACGTAGGCCTGTAGCTTCTCCTCATGGTAGAAAGGCAGGTCCATGAAGACTCCATCCACCTGGAACAGATGTGGCAGGGCCGGTGCTTCATTTTGAATGAACACCGCCAGGAGGGGGCAGAGGATGGGGATGCAGGACTTGTGGATTCTATACCCAGCTCTGAGACAATAGTGGTGTCTACAGGGGTAGAAGAGGGAGGGCTGGGAATCAGGACTCCTATGTTCTATTCGTGGTTCTTCAAGGGGAGTGAAATAAGTGAGAGAAAGGGGCTGGGAGTCGGGACTCTTGGGTCATACTCCTAGTTCTGGGAGGGGAGGGGAATCTGGTGCTGAGAGCAGCGTAGAAGGATAGGTCCACAAAGCTGCTATCCATCTGGAGCAGATGTGTCCGCACTGGTCAAAGTCTGAATTCCCAGTTACACTAAGACTCTTTCACACCCCTTGACAGTGTAAATGCAATTTACCCCAACTGTACACGGTCAGAGCAGTGTAAAGGGCATTAGCACAACAGAATTCAGGGTCAAATATCTTAGTGGAGGAAGGTTTTAGGGATGTTATTTAACAGGGCCAGCTGGTGTCAATCAAACATAACTCCATTGAAGTTAACGAGGCCACTTCCCCAGCTAAATGAGTGAGTCAGCTGAATGCACAGGAGTTACACTGGCATAACGGCACTTCTTGGGGGGAGAAAATCCTGCTGTATATATTCACACAGAGGCACTCAGTTACTTCCCACACACCCACCACCAGCTCAGGGTACAATGGACGCAGATCTCATTTCTACAAGGGGGAGAGAAATCAGGGGCAACGTAGCAATAGCAAGAGTTCAGAGCAGCAGCTGTGTTAGTCTGTATCCGCAAAAGAACAGGAGAACATTGGCCAAACCGGACAGTCTCTACGCAAAAGAATAAGTGGACACAAATCTGACATCAGGAATCAGAACATTCAAAAACCAGTGGGAGAACACTTCAACCTCTCTAACCACTCAGTGACAGACTGAAAGGTGTCAAGTATCAGGGGGTAGCCGTGTTAGTCTGTATCTATAAAAAGAACAAGGAGTCTGGTGGCACCTGAAAGGTGGCAATTCTGCAACAGAAAAGCTTCAAAAACAGACTCCAATGAGAAACTGCTGAACTTGAATTGATATGCAAATTAGATACCATCAATTTAGGCTTGAATAGAGACTGGGAATGGCTGAGCCATTACACACATTGAATCTATTTCCCCATGTTAAGTATCCTCATACGTTCTTGTCAAACTGTCTGTAATGGGCTATCTTGATTATCACTACAAAAGTTTAATCTCTTAATTAATTAGCCTCTTAGAGTTGGTATGGCAACTCCCACCTTTTCACGTTCTCTGTATGTATATATATATCTCCACAATATATGTTCCATTCTATGCATCGGACGAAGTGAGCTGTAACCCACGAAAGCTTATGCTCAAATAAATTTGTCAATCTCTAAGGTGCCACAAGTACTCCTGTTCTTTATGAACAGCAAGAGTTCCTGCTCACAGCTCCCCGAGTAGCCCTGTGGCTCTCCGTCCCTACCTTGATCTTGCGGGGATATTGCTGGCTGACAGTGATGTTTCTGCCGTAGACCTCCAAGGTCACCACTTTGGTGTAGGACACGGCCTTGCTGCCGCGGTTGTTATTCTCCACCTTGACGTTGAACGGGGTGAGCGTGGGGTCCTTGGAGCAGACCCCAGCCAGCTGGTAGATGCAGGTGCCCATGAAATCGTACTTTTTCCCGTCAAAGGTGGTGTAGTGAGGGTCCCCGGAGGCCGTGCAGGTGGAGTAGCTGATTGGGTAGCAGCCACGGACCCCGTTGATCACGGCGCATCTCTCGCTGGTCTTGCAGCTGGTCACCTGGCAAAGTACCATGCCCAGGCTGGGGTCACACCTGCACCGAGAGCGGCAGTTCTCATCGGCCCAGAACTCCTCACTGGGTTTGTAGTAGCGGCCATTGTAGTCACAGCCACAGCTCCCCACGGGGACGCACTGGCCGGCACTCAGGACATAACCATTGTCACACTGGCAGGTCTCCACGCAGGGCTCCCGGCAGGAGGAGGGGGCAGTTCGGTCGGAGCAGCTGGCGGGGCAGGCGTTCCCACAGGCCTCATAGTGGCTGTTCTCAGGGCAGGGCAGGACTGGGAGGGGGTCAGAGAGGGGGAGATTTAACAACACAGGAAATGAACTAAAAACACCTGCTTAGACGCAGCAAGAGCCAGAGACAAATTCTAATGTGCAATTAGCATCCTCTATATCACAGGCCGATGTACAAGCAGCCACACTAAGGCCACCTCTGGAGCACAGCACGGGGAACAGCCCCACTGGGCAAGGGTGTTTGCTAGCTGGGAGAGCAGGGAAATCCTCTCTTCTTATAGAAAATCCAAGAAGATCTGCAAAGTGCACCCAGAGCAGACTAGACCTCACTTGTCAAGGCCTCCTCTGGAAGATCCACCCACGCCAGAGGGCCTAGGACTCAGCACAGGTACCGTGGAAGTGGAAAGGCTAAGGAGATCCTACTGGGGTGTGCACCTGTATGTCCAGGTAGTATTTCAGATGGGTCTCATCTTTCCATCGCTTTCTGATCCATCCCTCTCTTCCGTCCAGTCCACCCACCAAATCCATCCCTCTGTTCATCAGTTACATCCTTCTTACACAATGTTGACCACCCCTTATTTGAAGTGAGGAAGTGAGATTTTCTTTACTTTAGATTGTAATAAAATGTTCATTGCCTCCATCTAATTGACATGCACATCCAGGAGTATCTATATCTGTCTAATCTGTAACCTAATCCATTTAATTATCCATCCATCTCAGCATCTAATCTACCAATCTTCACCTCTAATGGACTTTATCTCCCCATGCACCTAATCTATCTATCCATCCATTACATCTCTTTCTCTCACTATCCATCGAACCTATCTATCCATCTATTACATCCATTTAATCTCTCTATCCATTTTATTCACTTATCCTCAGTTGAAGATATTTAATCTTCCAATGCATTTAATTGATCTACCCAACTATTAAATCTATTTCATCTCCCTATCCATCTAATCCATCCTCTTAACAATATATTGAGTCGCTCCCTTTCTCTAATCTAATCTAGGAAAGCCATGTGTCCATCCAGTCTCCATCTAGCTAGTCTATTATAGGGATTTCTCAGGCCCATATGCCCATGGGGTCTAGTTGCCAAGGTGCAGTATCTAGGCCTGATGTCTGCCCTGACGCTCAGCCCACTGGCCATCTCCTCAAGCAGCAGAGTAAGTCTAGTCTAACTGCTGCTTTTGTCAATAAAGAAACCAAAGCACAGAGCTCACCACAGCCGGACGGTGTCCTCCAGTCATAGACGGTGATGCCCTGTTTCTTGCAGATGGCTGCGTAGGCCTCCAGCGCCTGGCACAGGATGTTCTTGGCTCCCCCGTTCAGACACACGTCGTAGATGCAGCTGTCGAAAATGTCCTCTGGGCTCACTTTGGAGTGACATTCTCTGAAGGGCCCTCCCGGTGCTTTGCTGATCAAACCACAGTATTCGTCGCCCCCGTAGATCATCTGCTTGCTCTCATCGCACGTTGGGCATTTCCCTTTGCAATCATCCCAGCAGAAGGGGTCCCGGTCTTTGACTTTCCAGCTCCTGGCCCATTCCACAATGGAGGAGACTCTGGTGCCGTTGGGAGACGTCATGTCATCTCCACGGTTTTGGTTGAAGTTCCCACAAAGGCCGCCCATGGCCCCATAATAGCTGCTGGGGAGGGTGATGATCAGGTGCCAATTCCAGTCATACGACACCTGCAGACCAAAGTCTGTCTGCAGGATAGCATTGAGACCGCTCTGGTAGAGCTTGATTTTACCATCTTCAAGGGTCACCGGCAAGCTGGTGGTCACATCATTGATCTAGAGATAGGAGGAAAAACCAATGGTTATTTCTCTTTTCATCTCAGCTAATACAAGAGTTCTGCTCCTCTGGGACAATACAGATTAGAAAGCCCAGAATTAAGCACTTGAATCCTCAGGGATAAAATGTTCTCTGTCCGGGGATCTGGCCGTGGAATGAATTCCCAGTGCAGATTAGATAAATCCAGAGTCTGACCAACCTCAGGAAATGCTGGAAGACCCTCCCCTTTAATAAAGCTTCTCCACCATAACAACAATGATACTCACAGCTTGAAACCCGCCCAACTCACCACAAAATCCTATGTCAAGTAGAGATTTCTCTACCACAAAAAGAGGAGAAAAGCCAGAAGCTCCGTGGATTTGAGCAGGGAGTTTACTCTTGTCAATATATGTTACGTCGAGGGTGGTTGGATCCTATGGTGATGGGTGGCAGTACAAAACCAGAGAAAGGAAGTGTTGTGGAAAGAGCACAGGAACCAGTGAGCCTGTGTGGCCTGTAGGTACCCCGCGACATGGGGAGACTGGGGGCACTTGGGTGATTGGGAGGCCGCTTGTTCAGTTCACTTTTGGAATGTTGTCATTTTTGATCTTGTTTCTTTTCATGGCCACTTTGAAATCACAAAAAGGGGATTTTTTTAATGATAATCCGGAAAAATTTCTCTTCAGAGATTTCTAAATATTTTTTTTATATATCTATTTCAAAATGAAGGTCCTGATTCAGCAGAAATTCTTGAAAAAGAAATAAATAAGAATATTGGCCCATTTTGCATGAATGGAAGAAAAAAGATGTTGAAATTTTCCCACCAAAAAAATTAGTCTTCTACCAGGAGACAGAGAGAGAAAGAGAGAGAGAGAGATGTGTATGAGGATGGGTGGATGGATAGATGGAGAAAAAGCAGATGTGTCTAGTGATGGATTGAGAAATGGATTGATGTGTATGCGGATGGATGGATAGATAGGGAGATATTTTTATTCTAAATGTAACCTTTCTGATCATTTTGGCACTTCGTACTCACTCTGATTTTCCCAACTTCCTTCTTGTGGATGGAGATGTTGTACCCATAGACGTAGATGTTGGTCAGACGCACATAGGAGACAGCCTGGTTGCCCCCCCTGTTGTCGTTCTTCTCATCGATGGTGAAGGGCACCAGGGTGGGGTCGGTCCCGCAGTACTTGGCCAGGGTGTAGGTGCAGGTGCCCTGGAAATTGAAGTTCAGCCCGTCGAAGCTGTGATAGTGCGGGTCCCCCCAGCCCCAGCAGGTTCCAATGAAATCGGGAACACACTTCGCATGGCTGTTCTCGATCTTGCACGTCTCCTTGGCCCGACATGTCAGGACATTGCAGGGATCTGAAAGGAGAGAAATCCCAGCAGTCCGTGAATGAGGGCTAGGAGGCAGGGGAGCTCGGTTCAACACAGGCCCAGTTACCCACCAGAACCCGCTGGCCCATCAAAGCCATTCGGAAGAGGGGCCAACCAGAGATGGTGTCCTATAGGCCAGAGACCAAGTCCACATATCCCTGCTCACTGGATGATGCAGAAGAAATTTCTTCGGCTCCCGTAGAAGCTCTGCCCAAGTAGGATTAAGTAAATAGGTAGAGTAAGACCTCAACATTTGACCAAAGCAGCAGGCCCAGAGGATACTTTTCTCTACCTCTTGACAGTGAAGTGCCTGGTCCAAAGCCCAGGAGAGAATCAATGACTTGATTTGACATATCCTGACTCCCAACCCAACAGCTCCAACCCAGAGAACCTACTATATAACCTGGGAACTGCAGGGGTAGAGCAGTGAATAGAACCCAGGAGTCCTGGATCACAGACCCCTGCTCTAACCACCAGACCCCGCTCTCTTCCTAGATCTAAGGATGGAAACTCTACTCTGCGCACGCTCCTCAACTGTTCTGACTCCATTGAGTCTGCTCTAATGACTCTCTGTCTCTACGATCACCTCTCTTCTTCTTTAACTCTTGCACTCTCTTTCACCTTTGTTGATGCATTGCATGACTCCATCTCTGATCTGACAGGTTTCATCGCTGGCGCAGCTGTGGGCTTCACAGGTCACCCCTTGGGCAGGAATGCAGGTGCAGTTTTGCTGGCACTTGTTGGTCAGAACTGTCTCATTAGGCTGTTTGAAAAAAGGGAAAATAACACAATGTAGCCCAGGGCAAATGTAGTTTTTCCAGTGCGGAGATGTTCAGTTACGTGGAGGCCATATCTGGGACTAGAGTGGAGTGGCTCATCTCCCAGCCCGCACCCGCTCTACTCCACTAGGCACCACTGCCTTCCCAGCGCAGGGAGAGAACAGAGGAGTCCTGACTTCCAGCTCCCTGCTCTAACCCCTAGACTCCACTGCCCTTCCAGAGACACGGTTCATGGAACCAGCCTTGCGCCATTAGTGCCTTTCGCCTTTCTACAGAGATTCATGTATTGCCATTGGCAAGTGACAACGGTCTGATCCAACATGGCTGATGAGAGCAGGGCGTGGAGGAAGCGAACAGATGGGAGTTAATACCCCAGCAGGGGGCGGTACCTTGTAATATATCCCCTTCTTGAAGCACCCACAGCTCTGCAGAGCCACGCAGCCCTGGCCATCGAAGAGGAAGCCATCGTCGCACTGGCAGCCTTCGGCGCAGGTGTCTGGGCACTTCCTGGCGTCAGTGATCCTGGCACAGGTGGTGGTGCAGAGGTCGGCGCACACCTCGTAGTGACTGTTGGCCGGGCAGCGCAGAGCTAAAGCAGAGAGAGAAGTAATTGATGGCTGGAGAGATCTCACCCCACACCTTAGAGGGACAGACATGAAGGAGAGGAGAATCTAACAGTGACGAAAGGACCAGGTCACCTTTATAACGGAACATGAAGTTGTTGGTTCCCACCCAAAGGAGTCTCTGAAGAAGCCCGGAGGCCTGGAATGAGATACCTAGCATCGCTGTCCCCACCCCGCAGAGGGAGGGGAGCAAGTGGGACAGGCCCTTGTGCTGTACCAGCATCACGGCACTTACGACAGAAGGAGGTGCTCCTCCAGGGCTGGACGGGGGCCCCGGCATCCTGGCAGGCCGTCACGTAGCTGTGGATGCTCTGGCACAGGACCTGGGAGTCTCCGTTGCCCAGGCACAGATCATACAGGCAGTTGTTGAAATACACAGTGGGGCTGACTGTGCTGTGGCAGGCGGCGAAGGGGCCATCGGGGGCCGTGAGCAGCCCGCAGTAGTTGCGCTGTTTGAAGACATCCTTCTTCCTCTCCTCACAGACCGGGCAGTTGTTCCCGGCGCATCCATCCTCACAGGCAGCCCCCGGGATCGGGACTTTCCAGGCAGAACCAAACGCTACCACGTTAGGGGCCGCCCTGCCATTGGGGAGCAGGAACTCGTCATCCCGACGCCCGTTGTAGTTCCCGCACAGGCCGCACATCTGGCTCTGGTAGTTCCCTGGGACGGTGACTCTGGCGTGGTAAACCAGATCGTAGCTCACGGTGAGGCCGAAGTCCGTTTGCACCAGCACGTTCCCGCCATGCTGATATGCTTGGAGCTGCCCATTGGCCACGACCACAGGCAGGTTGTGGGACACCCCGTCCACCTGAAAGAGACAGAGCATTCCCTGTGAGCCGGGGGAGTGGATGCTATTGGGGTTGGCTATGGGCACAAGACAGGGTCTCAGTGACACCTGGGCAAATCTATAGTGACTGCACTGAACTCAATTAAGTTTGGGCCAGATTCTCATCTCACTGATCCCAAGGTAAAACCAGAGTCACTTCTTTCAGTGTAACAGGGTCAGGTCTGGATCCTGATCTAGGTTCCCTGCGGTTAATCTGCAATCATCCACTCACTGCAATGGGGTGAGGACTGGATTCTGGTGTCACTTGTACCATTCAAAATCCATAGTCCACTTTTTTCAGTGTGAGGCCTCTGGATTTACACTGGTGTCAATGAGGTCAGGATCACACACTCAGTCTTTGATCTCAGTTGGGGTCTCCCAGAGAGTTAATTCTAATGACTGACCTGTGAGACAAGTGCCTCTTGCATTTCCACATCACTGGGGCTGCCCCTTGGCCGGTTTCAAATCCGGAGGATCATCTTGAGCAGGCCTTCCCAGGACAAGCCCCTTCTTGTTCTGCAGCAGGGTGAGCGTGAGCCCGTAGACCTCCACGGACATCAGCTTGGTGACAGACCCCTTCCCAATGCCCCAGGGCACATTCTCCACCTTCACGGCAAAGGACGTCAGGTTCCCGGTGTTGGTGCAGGTCTTGGCCTGGATGTAGGTGCAGGTGCCTTGGAAATCGAAGGCAACCCCATCGAAGGAGAGGTAGTGGGGGTCTCCGGCTGCGGAGCACGTTGCGGATCCAACAGGCTGGCATTTCCGGATGCCATTCACCAGCTTGCACTCCTCATAAGGGCGGCAGGTCAACCCCTTACACACCACGTCTCCGCTGGCCTGGCACACACACTGCTCCTGGCACGTTGGGTGGAAGGTCTCTCCAGCCTTATAATACAATCCCAGGTAGACACATCCACACTGGGATATAGGGACGCACTCATCACCGCTGAGCACAAAGCCTTCATCACACACGCAGCCTTCCCAGCACTGGGACGAGCACTGAACTGGGGCGTAGAGGCTGCTGCAGGTCGACTGGCAGCCCCGGGCACAGACCTCGTAGTGGCTGTTTTGGGCACAGGGGAGACCTGCCATTGAAACAACAAGACGTTAGCATCCCATAAAAGAAAACTAGATGGAGTCTGAACTATGTAACGATGTAAGGGCTGGAGAAGGGAGCCTGATGACAGCCCTGGAGAATGGAGTCTGTTGGGTGCAGTATGGGAAGCTACCAGGCAAGCTTCCTTCATACTGTGCCTTGCCAGTATGTTGTTGTTGGACCCCTTGTCAGAGGAGAGTCCGGTCTCCATGGCCCCTTCAGCTCTTGACCCCTTCTGACACTGGCAACTCAGGGGTATTTAGTTCCAGTTATTACCGTGAGCTCTGTGACAGGCTCATTTGTACAGTAAGGACCTGCATGAGATTCACATGCTCATGAAATACAGGTCCCATATCCCATTCCCTGAACAACCCACACTGAGTCAACTTCTCGCCCCCAGGCAGGGCCTGGATTGGAATTTGCACCCTTCAGGCGACAGGCCCTGAA